TGTCGTAAGTAAAAAATTTATGCTGCTTCTCAGTAAGATACTTGAGAAGACACCCCGACGTCCAATTTGTAGTGAAAATTTAACTTTCACGAAATTCAAAAGTTCCATGCGAAGAGCATGGAAATCGGAAGTGGTTATCACAGTAGGGGGAATCTTTTCCATCTTGGCATTAGGCCGGGAAGTTTACTGAAATTTTTATTGGATGATGGATCATTCTCATCATCCGTGAGCAAATCAAATTGATTACTCAAATACATTGCATCAGAAGGGGGGTCAAGAGTTTGCCCCATTCTTCTGCGTTTAGGCGCCATGGCGGCAGTAAATTTTTATCCAAATCTTATCCAAAAATTTATATTACCTACGGATCCACGTCGTATATTATCAACGCCACGGAATAAGAAACCTATATCATCTACAGAAGGCGGCCAATACTGGCATCAAGGGATTGGTAGGATGATTAAGATTTTGGTTTTTTAATCGTTTGTTAAAAATGTAATCCTATACTATGCCTTTCAGAAATTTGCCTTAGACGGTGCTTCGCCAATTTGAACGAATCATGTTCAGTTTTGATCAACATCAACATTGATGGACTACCCTTTTTCATTAATGGTACAGATCAAGTGTGGCCAATTTTGTTCAATATCCATAGTATGCCAGAAATTGATTCCATGACCGCTCGAAACCGAAGAAAATCGAACAATTTCTAGAGCCGTGTGCGAGTGAAATCCTTCCAATTTTAGAGAATGGATTGGTAATTATCGGGTTTGAGATGCTTGTAAAAATTCGAACATTTATTTGTGATTCACCTGCTCGAGCGTTTATAAAAAGGTATTATTTGCAAACCTTTAAAAACATCATTTTAATAACTCTTTCTCATTTATGGTAGGGGTAGTGAATTTCAGCTCATTACACGGCTGCTTTAAGTGCTGCACAGTTGGTCATCGTTGAACTTTATTACGAACTTACATATTTCCCAACACTTCAGAAAATCGTAGAACTGATTCTGGCTTTCGAGAATGGATGTATGAAGGACATTATCAACACTACAAGATCCGGGAAAATGGAAAGTTATTCAAGAAACCAGTCGTTACTTCACTGCTAAAGCTACCGATAGATATAGTTGAAGATGTCATAGTATCTGACTCGCTTCATCTACTTCATCTTGGAGTTATGAAGAAACTACTTCTTGAATACCAAGATGGTCACAACGGTCTGGACGCAGCTAAATGATGGAAAGATGACATCAAATCCATTTCAGAACAACTGGACACAATTCGTTTACCACTAGAAATTCATCGTTCTGTACGTAGCAGTAACTGTAAACCACTGGCAGGCTTCAGAATGTGCTTCGTTTTTAAACTACATAGGTATCATCTTTCTGAAACAATTTCTTAAAGAAAGTAATTTCATAAATATTTCAAATCTTTTCTGCGCGGTAAAATTTTTCTCTAGTAGCTATTTCCATTGTTACCTACCAGTAGCTAAAATTTTATTCAAGGATTTCATCACTAACTACAACAGACAATTTAATTCAGTCACCAGTAATATCCACAATTTAGCTCATGTTGTAGATGAGGTTCAAAGGTTTGGTGCTCTACCTTCGATTTCATCCTACCCATTTGAAAACCATTTACAGCAAATTAAGAAACTTGTTAGGAAAGGGCGATTACCATTATCACAAATCATTAATCGTTTATCTGAGAAAAGTAGTTATAATCCAAATCTGAACGACAAATCAGTACCTTATCCTTACTTGAAAAATCCATTTAAAGAGGACCATAACAAGAATTCCATCATACAATTATCGAGAAACTTCACATTGAAAAATTCGTTTCCGGATAAATGGTTTTTAATGAATGACAAAACGATTATCTCAATGAATTATCCAGATTCAAATTGAATCAATGGATCAGAGCTATTACGATTTGATAATCTGTTCATAAATCCCATACCATCAATGAATATTCTTGTTTTTTATTCATCAGACATTACCTGCAAAAACCAGAAGATGTATCCTTTAGAGCAAATTCTATGTAAATTAGTTGTTATAGTTGTTAACAATGAAGTCGTTTTTGTTCATCTTCATCATACTCTTCCATCTATAGAATGTATGTAATAGTTAAAATAGAAGCTCATATCCACATTGTTTATTTTTCAAAGTAAATGAATTCATAACAAATTATTAAAAGAAAAATCATCGGACCAGGTCGAATATGCATTTAGCAACAAAACTAAATGCGAGAAGATTCTCCATAAGGTTCTTCCTTGAAGGAAGACTCCTCGTCTAGGAACTCCACTTCCATTTATTGAGCTCGTCTTTGGTCCTCATTAAGTTGATTTGGATCGCATTGGGAATCTTCACTAAACTCTCGGTCATTCTCAAGCAAGTCGTTTGCATTTTTGACATGCCGATTCCTGGCCACTGGCATACGTAGATGTTTGATTTCTTCAAGTCTTTGCTTCGAATTTCGAATACAGTGTTTGAAAAATTTGTGGCAAGCCTCCAAAGTAAACATTTCATCAGCGTGGAAAACAACTTGAAAAATAAACAGATCGATAAATCTGTCATATTTCGAAAATGCAATCATTTCATTTGCATCTTTGCTAACCCCTGTCCATGACACTTCACGTAGAAATCTACGATCCACGAAGTAATCAATTAGCTGCAAGCACACAGTTTGACCGTTTCCCGTAAAACGGTGCTTTCCATGGATTTTTGACAATGAGTTGATCACGTTTTTAACAAATATTTCGTACATGCATCTCTGCCTCTTGAAGCTCAGTAACATACCTGACGGTTTAGCATTGGCTTGAGAAGCATAAACATTACCTGATTCAATTGGTTTTCCATGCTAATATTACGTTGGTCTTCCTTCTCAACAATAACATTAAGCTTTGCATTAACATGAGAAAGAGTGACTATTGCCTGTCTCATCTGTTTTTCCAAGCTCTGCAATCTACCGGGCAACGATCCTGACAAAAGGTTTGCGGTTGGTTCAGCGACTGTAGACTTGGAAAGGTTCTGTGAATTATCCAGCAACGGAGTTGCGTGAAGTTTACCATGGTTGGTCATCACGGAAGAATCCAGCATAGAAGCAGTAGAAGCAGTAGAAGCATCGTTGATTAGAGCTGTTGTTGATAGGAAATCATTCATTTGCACTGAATTTTCTCTGGATGTAGATGCTGGGGCATCTGCTGTTTGGTTGAGAATCTCCGAAAACAACTTTGCAGCTCCTGTGTCAAGTTGAGTAGGTTTCTGTGGTACAAATTGGGAACCAGCCTAAGGCTGAAAGCCTCCTAAATAAAGCTAAATTAATTAATTAATTGGTACAAATTCATCCGTATCAGAGTATAACATGTTATAGCGCTATCTTGATGGTGGTTTCTGTGTTGCAATTATTTGACAACCGTTATAACATGTTATAACTCTCCAGTCTGGACAGCGTTTTACTAAAAGTTCGAATAGAATCACGCTGGTTTTGAAACAAATTAATCAAATTTACTCATTACAGACCATTCCACTAAGGAGGAATATAATAATACTCAACTAGCAACTAGCAACCCAACTTGAATACCCAATCATTCAAGAGTCCAAGTGTTATTAGACATATAACATGAATATTTTTTTACGAATCATAAAATAAATCACATAACCAGTGGAAAATATCAATGTGTATTTCATATAACTTTCATGTGACCCCATAATTGGAAATTGCTCCCCAAAATCACTTGAACCTTACGAGTCCAATGAAGTATATATTATTACTCACATAGAATTAATTATGATATTCAGATACGAATCATTATTTTGTTATTGTAAAAACATCATGTGCGTACCTATGTTAAAACATGCATGATTTTTGTTCTCTATTTCACGTGCCAGAAACACTAATTTTCCCTCCAGAGCAGATGATTGAACATGACCATAAGACACTAGGGACTTGAACATTAACAACTGGATAAAATCTGTTTAGAAGCGTAAATGGAAGTGAAATAAGAGCTTGTCCCAACCGTCCCAACAGCCATAAGTAGCTGACTAAGTTCACCATATTTGCTGGTATAGAAGTTGAGTAAAGGTTACCTCATATCGTATAGCATTTGAATACAGCTTTAAAATGAGCAAAGCGTTTAAATTGTGAAAAATTTTAGTTGGGAGATTCTTCCAACATTGACCATGGCAATTCTACCACGGCAGGTGATGCTTTTTCGAAGGAAAAACTTCGGATGACTGTTTAGTTGTTGGTTGCTGGTTGCTCTTCGTGATTTCAAATGCCATTGGTCAGGAAGGAAGATTGCGAGGAAAAATCAAGTGTTTTTCGATCAGACGTGTGGACTTTCTTGAGTGTGATGGTTTCAAACCCTATATGCTAGGCAATAGACTTTCAACATCAAAAACAAATGTTGGGAACCAAAATCAAGCAATCCTTCTAGAGCACATACAATGCAAATAAATCATCATTCACCAACCATTTTCACAGACCCCGCGATTCTTGCAACACTGTTCTTGGGCGAGGGAAAATACATACTTCCATCATCATCGTAGAACAGTTTGCCTCTCTCATCGCAGCTTATTTCTCTCTCACAATCCGGCGTATAACACTCACGTTCCGCAACAGTGAAAATCTGTAAACAGACCGTAGGACAAACAACAGGCTCTGACGTTCGTCTGACAGCTCGCTACACAAATACACCCGAGGTATAAGGTGTGCAAATTTACAAACACACACACACGCCGTCATACAGCGGGGGATCTGATTTCGCGAGCGAGAGCAAACCCGCAAGCTCATCTTTTGCTCTCCCCATACCTAGGTAAGTATAGGAGGACGGATGGACATCCAGCAAGCCAGCAGATAGATCAAAACAACACCGCACGATTCGAGAAGCATCAAATATCATCGCTGCTGGTTGTTGTTTTTTGTGTTGTTTATTCACTCCGGCTGCTGGTGGCAGTATCTGTATATTTTTTATTCATCCACTAAACCCTCAATGTGTTGGTGTAGTGTGGTGTAGTGTAGTGCAAAACCTGAAAAGAGAGAGGCGTGCGAGCTTCTTTTTTCGACTGTCAATTATTAGTTTCAATAATATGGATCCGATCACAGAAAACAACACGCGCAGTTCGTGACAAGTGGCTCGGTGTGTATGCGAAGACGACGGACGAAGAGAAAGGAAGTAAAATTTCGATTAAAAGTGGTGCAGCCTCTTGGTCGGAGTGCGTGATTACATTCAAATGCAGTGATTATTTTGCCTCTATTCTGTTACATTGAACTCGCGATTTCTGTGTGGACCGAACGTAAGAGAGAAAGAGAGCGAACGTGGGGAAGGTGGTGCTGTGATGTGATACGGGATGAGCTAGAAAATAGGTGAAGAAGTGTTTTCATTTTCATCGTCTATAATTTCAAGCTCACATTTCGCAGCTAGTCCAAGGTGATTTGTGCTAGAGAAAGTGGTGTTTTGACATTTAAACCAGTGATTTGGATGAGCTCGAAGACGGTGCAAATTAGGCCCGAAACAAGAGATAAGTCTGAGTGGTACAGTTGTACGCGAAAAAAAGCCGAGGAGAAGATTTGGTGGAGTTTATTGATTTTTGTGTCATACTCTTTCATTGAAACCTGTTTCTCCGGTGGAGTGGAACACCAAGTTTTACCGTGGCTGTTTCTGCATCGGAATGCTGCTGTACTGAAAAGTGGATCTTCATCGGTGGCTCTGCCCTCGGCCAGCCAAACCAAACGAGGAAGAAAGGTGAAGCAACATACAATGGCAAATGAAGATAATGATGACGATGATTATTGAGACGAGCTAATGGGGAGGGTTTCCTTGGATCATATTCAATTTGGGAGGACAGCCAAAATAATTCTCATCAGCTAGTAATTCATCTAAGCAGCCCTGACCCGCAGAGCAATAATGGAGCAGTAGATGGGTGCAGTGAGATTCGCTCATCGATAGGGTTACCAAATTTTCTGCAGTCACCCACACACATCAGCTGGTCACTACTCAGAGGAAGAGATTTCTCTAGAGCGATTTGGTATTTAAAGTAGCTCACTGAGCCTGGTTGTGAGCTGGTAACCATCCTGCTGGGTGCCCCTCGTGAATAAATTGAGGATTGCATCAAACGATGGCATACGTGCATACGTGAAACCATACAGCAGATCAGAGACGATGAATGAATCCACTGCATCGGAGGAGGGAGGGCACGATGTCTTCTAGTCACGCTGACACTACTGTGCTAAATTGCAACTGGCTGCCATAGTTTGAGCGTTTAACCTCAAATGCTATTGTTGCTGCCATCGCGCGTTGTTGGTACAACTAACTTACTATCTCGGTAGTTTCATCAGCATCCACAACCGATGAGTTGCGGTGTTTATTTATTTTCTCGGCGAACGCATCATTCATGCTGAGTGATTTTTAGCGGCCCATGGGTCGTAGCTTGATGGGAGGTCGGTGCAAATTTGAATGAAGTGGAAATTGAAATTGAGCCACGAACTGAGGGGGTCCAATTGGTTTAGCTTGAAAGGGGAAAGTGTGTTAATAGTGAAGAACAGTTAAATGTACTAAAAATGGAACGTAAGATTTTAAAATACACCTGCACTCGAAACGGCTGCCGTTGCTGACTTGGTTTTTAAGAGGCTCTAGTTAGAAAATGTTCAGAGTTAAAGTCTGGAGGGTGTTCTCTCGAACAATAATTAAAACCGGCGTATGCGATTTTGTAAACAATAACCTCAAACGTCAATTAACCGAAATTTATAGCACGCCCACGCACACTAACACCAGCATCAGGAAGATGGAGCTTCCTTCTAGAAGATGGTGGTGATCGTTTGCGTGGGCATGCAATCAGTTTCGATATATTGACGATTGAAGTCATTGCTGTATTGTGTCAAAAGTATGTGCTTGATATTGATATTGTGTGTTCACGGATATACGATCGACCAATTGTCACAACGCTAATAATCTGCAATCTTCTATTGAAACGCGCTACAGCATCCAAAATTTTGCCAGTACATCAACGAGTGCACCATACCTCCGGAATACGTGATTGTATCATGAGCAAAATGAGAAACTGCCGTTACCGGATATGCTAATCTTCTGAAATCACGACCTAACGTTTGCAAGCGACAGGTTTGCTTATTTAACAATCCCATTCACAAATCACTGGTAGCTAACGTTTAACTTACTGGGTAAATTAATCAATTTGATGACATATTAATAGCTTATTCTGCTATCGGATCAAAATTAGTTCTTGAATTCATGATATCAAAATATCATAACAATAGCAAGTTATGCTTTGATAGCAGAATAAACTATCAACTTGATTTTTTTTTATCTTCGTTCGTTTATTTATAAGGCTCAATTGCGTTAGCTTTACGGAGCCGATAAATCATTGTTCTTTGTTTGTAACTAAATTCACTTAATTCTATGTCTAGTAGGAGTTGGGCCGAATACTCGCGGCTTACCCAAGGTTAGAGAAGTACATTGTCGAAGGATAGAAGAAGGGGAGGAGCTTTGGGGTAGGGTTTCGTTGTTTCATCAAAGCGATGTCGCCAGTATGAACGATAGTGTGGTTCTAGATTCGTCTGGGGTTCGACCGACTATGGTGACCAGTGGGCGATGATGAGACTCATCGAGACGGGGGACAAGACAAACAAAAACTAATAAAGAGATACAAAAGACAAACGAATTAAATTCTTATGCTAGACATGTTGTACCCAACACGTCTCTGATAGGAATATAGGGTTGTCGTCCTTGGGCCTCGAGGGTATTCAAAAGTTGCTCTCTGGCGGCGTCATTATCCGTACATTGTCAAATTGCGTGATCGATGTCATCGTGACCGTTTCCACACCGACGGATGTTGCTGTCCACGAGGTTTATTCTATTAAGATGTGCATCTAGCGAATAGTGGTTGGACAAAACCCTACTCATCACGCGAATGAAGTCACGAGTTAAGCCCAATCCTTTAAACCACGCTCTCGAAGAAACATTAGGAATAATTGAATGTAACCACCGTCCAAGATTTCCAGTGTCCCAATCGGTTTGCCAACTTGCTATCAACTTGTTATATTAGTTAGCTGTTAAAGCCCGAACTGCAAACATCCCTTTTCGATGACAGCGCGTATCAAAAATAATATTTCCACCTTCAGGCGTTCTAAGTGTCCATCCTGAGGAAATATTCCCACGGAAAGCCTGTGGCCGGCTCAGCTTAGGCCAACCGGAAAAGTGAACATCCTTATCCGTAAAAACTACGATAGGAGCAAAGTGCGCCTAACCTCATCGCAACGAATTGATTCAATGCTAGGAAACTCGTTAGTAGTTCTTGAGGATCCTCATCGGACTCGAATAAACTCCAGTAACGTCGACCAGGCAAGCAGCTCACTCTCGCTACCATCCTTCCTCACAAGCTCGTCTACAATCAACAACTTTTCATCGACGCAGTTATTGATGTTCAACGTGCCTGTCAGTAACTCTTTCGAATCTCTCACCGATTTCTTCGACAATTCCGACCCACCCGGCAATCAGGAAGCAATAGAGCATAGTGACACGAACCACGGTGTAGCTGCACGAAAGATTCGCTGTCCTCAGATATATGATATCTGTGGCCGCATTACGTCAACTTCTGCCCGCTGCCAGAAAGACTACCTCCCCAAAAGAAAACCTCACTTTGTCGCAGCTGTGCCGCTGTTGCGGTCATACAGTGTTTCATTCTACACCCACGGTACGAGCGACGAAGTGCCGCATAAGAGGACACCTCTTGCCGGTCTCCCGAAGTATCTGAATCCTGTAACATTGTAACATCCGATGTTAAGCTGCTATCTGCATGCAGAACCGGTGATGTTACTGCTTACTTGCTACAGTTTCCAAGGGGTACCGTGAAACTACAAATGCTCCGGAAAATCAGGTCGCTGTTTAATGTCAACGTGTACTGACGGAAGAAAATCGATGTAGTCTAGTGCTTCAGGTGTCAACTATACGGACATGGTATGCGGAACTGTAACCTGCAAGCGAAATGTGTTAAATGTGGTAAACTGCATCAAATAAAATCGAAAGCTAACGATGACTCAATGACGGAAAAGAAGATCAAATGTACAAACTGCAGTCAAAATCATACCGCCAACTACAAAAGTAGCCCCAGCCGGTTGCAGTATCTGAAGAAGTTAGTGGATAGAAAGAATTTCCCTTCGGTGAATCGTGCTATAGGTCAAGTTCAATCATAAAAGCGAACGTCTCAGCAACAGCATCGCAACGGATATGATCAGCCTTCCGGAATTCTATCAACAATTACCTCTCAAGTTCACTCCTATGCAAGCGTTGCTAGGAGTCAACCCGCGGTCTCAGTGGATCATCCAAGTGAACTTGATTTATTTTCTGTGGAAGAATTTATAGCGATTGCACGTGAAGTTTTTGCAAGACTTTCAAGTTGCCAATCAAAAGCCTCACAATTTCCAGTTCTGTCTGAACCTGCTCTGCTTGTCCACCCATAATTTCCTCAAGCTGTTGAATTGGAACAGCCGTTCCTTGAATAACTAAATGGAGGAGTTTTTTCACTTCGTGGAATCCCCTGGGCATCGATGTCACTGTGGTTATTTAAACCTGGTTACGCAGTTCGTGTATCATAAAAGCTACTCAAAAGCTCGTTTGGATCGAAACTGCTTTGAAGTGGATCGCGACAAAGGAGTTGCCATTTTTATCAGAAGAGGGCTCTCGTTTAGTCAACGTGGCATGTCTACATCGATTATTGAAGCTGTAGGAGTCTCTATCAACACCAATACAACACCTGTAAACATTTTAGCAGCAAACTACCCCTGATCGAATAAGAAGGTGCACCTCTACCAGTTTAGACGTGATACATATACGGAAGCTAAAAAATTGTAATGTGCCGTTCTTCATCTTCATTTCAAATCCCGATACTCCATGTGGAACTGTGTCAAAGCTAATAAGGCGGGGAAAATTCTCTTCAAGGAGTATGAGGAGTATGTCCACTATCCTGATACACCAACATGAATCTCACTAGGGAGAGGAAGGTCTTCCTCCTTAGATCTTACCCTTTCAAACAACTTTATTCGAATGTCAGTTCCAGCTGTTCACACAGCACTCTCGTCTGACCATCTTGCAGTTACATTCACCATCAGGAACATTGCTTCTACCGTGCTTCGCGGATGCAGCTTTCGGAGTAGCAACAAGGCAAACTGGAATCTTTTCTCCAGCACAATCAATGATAACATCGATCCAAACTCTCAACTAGTCAATAACCTAGTCGACCAGGAGAAAATTTACTAAGCCATCTTTCTATTTGAAGACTTCGTTGTACGTGCTGCAGACATAGGTGTCCCGATGGTTACAGTAAACCATCACAAAGATGTTCTTCCCGAGTCAATCATGCTTCTAATCCGCTGGAGAAACGTACGAAGACACACGTGACCTATGGTTAGGTACAATCGTGTCCCATCTTAATGACACTATTGGAGCTAAATGTTCCGAGCACCGATTCCGAAACTGTGGTGGTATGCTGAAAAACTTGAACAATGGATGAAACAAGTTCTGGAAGCTAAACAAAAATCTTCGCAACTACGAAAATCATAGTCCGCCTCTCAAGGTTGATGGCAGCCTACTAGCAACACCTGTTCAGAAAGCTGAAACTTTGGATGCGACCTTTGCTGCAGCACACAACAACTCACTCGACGGTGATGCTGCAACAACAGCAGCAGTGAATGAAACCAATGTGTGCTTGTTAAACCGAATTAGGTGAAATC